TCAGGGGCACTCATTCCCCTCGAGTGTAGTGGATCCAATGCTGGTCATGTAAGCTTGGTGTGGCAAGACCTCTCGAACTACCCTGGCAGGACTCCAATGAGCGCAGCAGCTCTTCCATCACTGCTGGTTCACGGCACCTATTTCAATCATTGGAATGCTATCGTTACTAGTGGAGGCCTGAGGCCGATGGGCGTAGGTCGATAACATGAGAGGGCTACCGTTGAGTTTCTTTCAGCGGCAACATATCCACCTGGTGGACGCCACTGCAACACTGACGGGGGTCGTGAGTGGACTGAGGAAATCGGCCGAAATCTATGTAAAGGCCGCGACCATCATTTTCTCTCTTTTTCAATACTTCTCATCAGATATACATTGACGCCAAAAAAGCCGCTGAGGACCACATAGTTTTCTTACGGAGTGCCAACAACGTTTACCTCACTGCGGGAAAGGTGGCCATCTTAGATTTAAATGTAAACATGCAGTTGTTGGCATTCAGGACGGCGTGTTGGGGACGCAGTACTTCAGCAAGGTTGTCGATGTTAAGAAGAGTGCTACCGTTGGCTCTGAGCAACTCCTCGAATTCAAGCCTCTGTAGAGGGTGCGAAGAAGCATAGCAATCTCTCTTATAACATCAAAGGGAGATATTGAGAGCATTTTCCTTGCTTGTGTCTGATGCTGGATGAGCAGATTGTGGATAGATGGGACCAACGTAGAGATCTCCAATGTGGGGATTATAGGGGGTGTTTCCTGCCACTGCTGACGGAGGCGTGTTTCGTTGGTATATGGTGAACTGGTTGTTGAACTGAGCTGCTGTGGTTGCTCCCTTTGAGCTACTACCGACTAGCAGTAAGGGACTCTATATCAGGAGAACATTGAGGAGGAGAGCCATCCAAAGCAAAATATATAAGCAAAGTGAACAGTACTGAGTACCAAGTTTTGAGTACTTGGTGAGCAGTCTGGGCGAGCTGGTGATAGCTCTTTGAGTCTCAAAGTGAAGGGCTCGAAAACGTTCCCATTTACGGAAAGCCACGGGTGGCGCAATTGTGGTGTAGCAACTCAGAGAAATCTATCGGGCCGCTCCATTCGAAGTGATGTCGAAGTTGGAGTACAGTGTACTCAGTACACTCGTCTTCGACGACAAGCATGACTCCTCCGGTAATTTATAGAAGCTTTGGCCGAGTAGTTAAGGCGGCGGGCTGCTCAGTAACTGGGCGATGCCCGCGAAGGTTCGAATACTTCAGGTGTCTAAGCAAAGTTCACTCTTTGGGCCACAACGTTCGTAAATTGCAAAGAAGCATAACTGCCAAGAACTTTT